ATTTTATTCTTATTTATTTATTTTTTTAAAATTACTTTTGTGTGAGTGTACCGTCAAATCAGATCTGACTGGTACAGGAGGAGATTGTCCCTTCTTCCCTGGCACAGCATCTGGTGGATTCGAACCGTGCGCCTCTGGGATTGTAGTTGCAGCTCCTTGCCACTAGGCCACCAGAGCTCCCCAAGTTCTTCAACATTTTAAACCAAAGTTGGTTGTTTTGGTTGAAGAGGAGGTGTGAACTGTGGATCCAAGCAAGATGAAGTTGAACATCTGAAGATGTTATTTGCCCCAAATCACAAACCTAGGTGATAGGTTGAAATAAAAACAGACTTCAAACTTGGCTTGGAATCCCTCTGCTCATCCTGTGCCATCAAGGCCATTCCCGCTCAACTCTCACAGGGTTTCCAAGTCTAAAAATCTTTATAGAAGTACACCGCTTCATCTGTGGAGCAGCTCCCGTCGGTTTGAACTGCCAGTTTTGCAGTTAGGAGCTGAACGCCTTAGCTATAGGACAACCATGCTCCTCTAGATTCCTTGGGTAGTAGAAATGGTTAATAAACTCTGCTGCTAACCAAAAGGTTTGAGGTTCTAGTCTACTCAGAGGCACCACAGAAGAAAGGCCTGGTGATCCACTGGAACTGAAAAACCACAGACTACATTTCTACTACAACATATAGGGATCTGTATGATTTGGAATTAATGTGACAGCAACTAGAACATGGCATTGAAACCTAACTGGTGTCTAATTTGGAAAATACAGTGAAAAATCCAAGGGAACATAGTTTTATAAATCTGCCATTTATGAAGTTGAAATTCAAGGTCACACCAAGATGCAAAAATGCCCATTAATGTCAGTGAACCCTTTTTATAGAAATATCAATGATTTTATTTTCATGGGGGATAAAAAAACACCCAAAAAACCAAAACCCAACCAAAAAAAACAAAAAAAGCAAACCCCAGAAACCAACTAAAACACCATAAACTCCAAACCTGAAGAAAAGAGATCATTTAATACAAATGTGTGGTTGTTATTTACAAGTCTATCTTAAGATGTATCAAAGCACCTAAGTTACCATTATGTTTTACCCAAGTTCTAAGCAAAGCTTTAAAATTGAGTTGGTCTTGGTACTTAGCCCCAAAGGGTCTAGGTTGCTCATTCTGAGGCCAGATACTTGGAAAATACAGTTGCAATAAAAAACTAGAGAGGATTCCTTTCTGGACCAAAGAGGCCCTGATGAGAAGTGGGGACTCTACTTGTCAGCCTTCAGGGTCCTCTGGAACGAGGGAGTGGAGTGTACTCTGGGGACTCAGCCTCACCAGGCAGCTACCTTTCACACCCTTTCCAGAGCACGGCAGGGTCTTCACACCAGCAAGTGGTGGTTTTAAGGCAGCCTCATGGTGGTTTTCATGTGGCTATTCCAGCAGTAAGCAGACTGCACAGGTTTTTTTACCCTAAATGCAAAAAGAAGGTTCCAAGGCCAGCTTCACATTCTTTCAGCGCTGCTCCCAGAGAAATCTGTCTGCAGAGGCGTGATGTTGTGGTCGTAAGCAGCGTACTCAGAGGTGCCAGTGCTGGCCAGCTTGAGCTGCTTGGCCGCGTGGGTCAGCTGGAAGGCGGCATCGGGGTGGGCGGTATCTGGCAGCAGCGTGCACTCCCTGTCCAGCATGTCAGCCACCCCTTTGAGCAGGTCCAGGAACCCAAAGGCCAGGGCGGCCTTCCGTAAACGGTTCAGCTCCTGAAACAAGAAAAACTGTGATGCTTCTAGAATGGGTTTTCCTCCTCATATGCTTTATAAATGCACCCTAACAAATTCTGTGAGCATTTTTATATAAGAAAAGTGCCTTTCCAAAGCTTCTACTAGGACAACTGGGAGGGGAGTCCTTCATAGTTGATGAGAAAGCTATGAGGCAAGAGCTCTTGACCTCAGAATGAATGTTTGGAGGAAGCTGTGAAGGAGTTAGAAAACCTGACCTGGAAAGGTTGGGAGTGGATTGAAGAAGGGAAATAAAGTACCCTGCAGCAGTGGGTTCAAGTGTGTCAAGATGAGGAAGGTGGCACAAAACAGGGTTCAGATCTATATTAAGGTAATACTGTTAAGTACTAATATTGTTCAGAGGGCTACTGGGCGTCGTACTCGATGTCACCTAACAACATGAAGCAATCAGCAGTGTGAGGTGGGTGAGCTGTGTAAGCTCTCATTGGTAGAATGAAGATTTTAACTCCTTAACCAGTGGGCTGAAGCAGGCTGACTCTAATGTATGGGATGATACAAAAACAAAAGGAAAACTGGGCGCTCTAGGCTCCTCTCTCCAATAGAAATTCATTACTGTCAAGTCAGAACCAACTCAGGCTGACCCTCCTCAGGAGGCTCTCAGGAGGACAGTGCCCATCTTTGTCCTGAGGAGCCAGGAGCCCTGGTATTAAAGCCCCCAGAGAGGCGCTGCTCCCTACAGACAACGCTGCTGGAGCTCACGACCCTCCACTGTAACCTACTAACAAGTGATTGTGTCACGCTAAGTGAGGCTGTGCATGGCCTGTAGACTGGGCGCTCTGCAAGGAGACAGAGGGCTTTGGGGAGGCAGGGAATGGATGGGCTAAGAGCTTCTCTGGTTGAACTCTGATTAAAGCTGCTCTTGGCTGGTCTTTACCAGCTTATTACATAATTGAGTTTGAGGACAATGCTGATTCAAAGGTAATGAGAACTTTCAAAGTGGCCCCTGGTCTCTGGAAGAGATGCTAGCCAGAGGCTGGCTTTGTGTGCCATATTTCAAGATCAGCAAGTCAGGATGTCAGTAACTGCCTACATTACATTGCCACTGAAAAGTTCAACCAAGCACCAGAAGGAGAGAGAGACAAGGACGGTGAGGAACGGGCAGAAATAATGCCTTCTCCCCTTGGTCTCACTCCACACTTTGCAACTCTTATTTCCTCCACTCCTGCTTCAGTACTGGCTGGGTCTGATGCTGCACATCCATTTCCTTTGCAGTTCATAAATGTGTCATCTTAGAAGTTATTTCTGGAAGCAGCTTCACTGGTGGTGTAAGAACGTTCTGGGTAACTGCCCATCTCAGGAAGCCACTTACACATGATGCCTGTGCTTAGACTGGATTCCTCTACACAGGATGGTGAAGACTATGACCCATAGGTCCTTTCTGTGGCTTTTCCAGGCACAAACAGCAGCACCAACAAAGAGAAGCCCATTCAAACAGAACCAGGCCACTCAAACATCTAGGACTCCTGAGTTTTCTGGGTTCTTTCTTCAACATGACACAACTATTTGTTAATAAATAAATGACAGAGAGTGAGCTCTGATAGTGTGGCTCATAGGCAGCTGTGCTGCCA